GAATTCTGGGAGTTGAAGTCCACACATCTTCAAGCGGCCAAGGTTGAGAAACACAGGTCTAGGGAGAAAGTTTGTGCTCCTACAATATTTGTTTATCAGCAGGGGAAAAGTGGGTCATTCTGCCTTTGCCCCAGAGCGGGTCTGCCTTAACCTTGCCAGACCCAAGGCAGGAAGCTGATTGCACAACCGCATGGGGGCTTCTGGAGTTTCCAGAGCGCAGGGCATCTCAATCCATCCTTTCTGTCCCTGGGTGACTTGGGCTGTGCGTCGCACAATGGCCCAGCTGTCCTTCTCGGAGCAGGTGCTTTCCACAGCAGACTCTCCAAGAGCGGGGCTGAATGGCAGCTGATTGATCTTCAGGAAGCCTCTCCCTCCTCTGATCCCTGACCTAGTTGTACAAACAGTAGGCCAGTGTCTGTGTGCGCACAGGGTGTTGGCGCGACTTGAAACGCGCCCTGAAAGATCACGGATGTCCTTCCCTTCTTTAAGCCGAGGCAGAAGCCCCACCGCCTGGATTTCGGGCATCGCACGGCCCCGCATTGCGTTTCCCCGCGCTCAGCACCAAGGCACGTCCATGTGCGCAATCGCGCGTCTACACACACACACACACACACACACGTACGTTGTTAACTAGGAATAAGAGGTCGGGGGAGACGGAGAGGAAGAGGACCCGGTTTCAGGAAACCTCATTCCTAAGAAACTCTTTTGCCGTTAGAAGACTATTTGGGGGGTCGTCCGCCAGGCACCGTCCTGGCGGAGGAGGGGCAGGCCAACCCTGGCGCTCCCCTTCTCCCTCGAGGAGGGAACAGCCCTTCCAACCGAGCCCGGGAAGGGAAGGCTTCAGGCGGCAGTTCGCCTGGTTTTATCCCGTTCTCCTCTCCCTGTTGAACTCGGCCCCGTAACAAACGGCCGAGCCTGGGCAGAGCCCCTTCGCGCTCCCCGCCCGCCTCAGCTCACCCTTCCTGGGCACTGCCAGCTGCCCCGCGCCCCGGCCAGCCAGAGCCCCGGAGACGGAGGGGCGCCCAGCCCTGCCCGCCCGCTCTGCCCGGGACGCACCGTGTGAGCCCTCCCCGGAGTCCGCTGCCGCCGCTGCGAGGACGCCCGCAGCCGCACCGCGCTCACGGCCACGTCCAGCTTCAGCATCTTGCTGCGCCGCCCGGCTGAGTCCCGCCGCCGCTTATCCCGCCGCGGCCGCCCCGCCCGCCCGCCCGCCCGCGGCTTCCTCGGCAGGGGAGCCGCAGACGCCTGGGCAGGGCGCTGGAGTCCGGCACGCCTGGAAGGGCGCGAGGCGAAGGCGGCGCGCTCAGCCCCTTCGAAGCCGCGTTCCGGAGCGTTTTATTCCTGCGGCCCCGCGATCCTTCAGAAGCGACTCAGGGCAGCAAGCGCACCGGTGGGGCTTCCACCTGCCCGGCCTCAGAGCAGCCCTTAAGGGCTACAAAAACTCCCGACTGGCTATGCTAACTTGGAACCAAAGGTCTTCTGCCTCCGTCGGCCACGCTTTACGATTCCCCCCGTGGCACTCAAGTTTCCACGCTGCCCTGAGCTGTGGCTGGTTGAAACGGTTGGCTTGGCACGGTCCATGAAGTCAGGAGTGATGGCTTGCCACATCAAATCCCGCAAACCGCACCCATGCCTTGTCCAAACTTGGCAGCTGAATGTCAGCAGCCTTCTGCCCAAAAGGTGGTGCCGCGCTGGGCTACGTAGCCTACCTTGAGGGTTGTTTGTGAGATGCAACAAGGCAGAATCCTGCCTGTGCTGTTTTGGTACTGAGGCCTGGGGAAAACAATTAGTTGGTAAGATTTATGGGGATAAACTCTTGATCGTGGAGGGGGGGGGGGATATCCACAGTTCCTGTTGCTACATGACAGAAGCTTGTATCTGTGAGAAGTGTGAGAAAACCATGAAATGTGTTTCTCCGCATTAAAATGTGGCCCATTCGTTCCACTACAGCTCCTAGCCAGTTGCCACAACACATACAAGCACGCACACACACAGACACACGCAAAGAGACGAGTTAGCTACCAAGCCCTGATTTTAACTTTTATTTCATTGCTGTCGTTGCACCACAGGAGTCACCGAAAACATCCATGGGTTCAACATCGAAGTCCAAAGAACGTGTGTTAATTCCTGCCTCCGCTCCGCTATGTATGGCGAGTCACCCTGTAAGCAGGAAACTAGTCTCTTTTCAATAGGAAAATATATGTGTGTGCATGTGTGTGTGTGTATATATATATATTTATATATGAATCTAAATGGAAAAAAATAATATACAGTTAGAAGAGTTACTAGCTGGGGAAACCGCTCCTTCAGCAAAGGAGTATCAGATCTGCAGGAGCCAAGGCCAAGAGGTATTCCGTGATCAAGGCAGTCCAATCCAGGAGTAAATGTTTACCCAGCCTGTTTAAGAGATGGCCTTTGCTTCAGGGAGGAACCCCTCCCAATACTTCACCAGCTGTGTGGACAGAGAAGAAGAGGGAACATCAGAGAACAATTCTCCAGCTGCTTATACAGAAAGATTTCTGGTATTCCCCCCGTTATCATGACCTTCTGGATAATCCAGGGCAGTGTTTCTCAACTTTGGCAGCCTGAAGATGGTTGGACTTCAACTCCCAGAATTCCCCAGCCGTTATCATGACCTTCTGGATAATCCAGGGCAGTGTTTCTCAACTTTGGCAGCCTGAAGATGGTTGGACTTCAACTCCCAGAATTCCCCAGCCGTTATCATGACCTTCTGGATAATCCAGGGCAGTGTTTCTCAACTTTGGCAGCCTGAAGATGGTTGGACTTCAACTCCCAGAATTCCCCAGCCGTTATCATGACCTTCTGGATAATCCAGGGCAGTGTTTCTCAACTTTGGCAGCCTGAGGATGGCTGGACTTCAACTCCCAGAATTCCCCAGCCGTTATCATGACCTTCTGGATAATCCAGGGCAGTGTTTCTCAACTTTGGCAGCCTGAGGATGGTTGGACTTCAACTCCCAGAATTCCCCAGCCGTTATCATGACCTTCTGGATAATCCAGGGCAGTGTTTCTCAACTTTGGCAGCCTGAGGATGGTTGGACTTCAACTCCCAGAATTCCCCAGCCGTTATCATGACCTTCTGGATAATCCAGGGCAGTGTTTCTCAACTTTGGCAGCCTGAGGATGGTTGGACTTCAACTCCCAGAATTCCCCAGCCGTTATCATGACCTTCTGGATAATCCAGACTCCCAGAATTCCCCAGCCAGCATGGCTGGCTGGGGAATTCTGGGAGTTGAAGTCCAGCCATCTTCAGGTTGCCAAGGTTGAGAAACACTGATCCAGGGGAAGCCTGTCCCCATGAAAGGAAAAGCCCAAACCACAGGAGTTTCCAAGCTGTGAGGCTGACAGAGTTGACTGGAGCTGATCTTCTAATGTCCAGCTCGGAATATATCGATTGGAGGGGACCAAAGGCATTGATGGAGGAAGCTGATTCACCCTGGTCACTGGGTGTGGACAAGAGTCCTGGGACCTGCTGCTCTGCAGAGCCTCTTGGCTTATAAATAAATACAAGACATGGCACGCGCCAATGGGATGCACAGCACATCTCTCCCTCACCTGCTGTTGTGAATGTAGCAATGACTCCAGGTATTTGGTCACGTGTGTCCGGAAATCTTTTGTTTTTTCTTTCTGTAATAGAAGTTAAAAAAAACAACACACAGACATATAGATCTTCAGTGGGGCACTTCCAACAGCAGGATACTGCAAAGCTCAAGAAAAGTTCCCAAAGCTGGAACTGGGCTTGACACTTAGGGCAATTTTCTGAGTAGACAATTAATTCCATGTGTCTCAAGTAAAAAGCAGACAATTGCCTGCTAAACAATTAACTGCTGGAAAAGTGCAACTGAACTTTTGATGCAATAGGCGTAGGAAGAGCATTGGGAGGAGGGTCAAAAAAGTCAAAAGGGAGGTTGTGACCCTGTGATCAAAGCCTTGCATCTTTTAAATGTGAAATTAGGAGGCAGCCCATTGATAATGAATTACATTTGAAGTCTCCTACCTGTTCCTTCCTCCCTCCCCCGCTTGTTTTTCCTTACAGTAACCCTGGGACTGAGAAAGCTGGTGGTGGTGGAAGGGGATGCAGTGTTAACCCAAGAACTGAATCCTTTGGGGCCAGACATTTCCTCAGATTAGTTCTGCTTTCATTGGCACTGTGAAACTGGAAGAGGCTCTCCTGTACTAAAAGAGGCAGTCCTATGTACCTCAAACCGTAAGACCTCTTTGCGGAGAACAGCAGATATCCGTTCAAAGTCACGCTCGTACTGTGTCACACGAGATTCCCACTGAAGAGACAGAAAAAAACTGGTTAAAGAGCGCAGCGATGTTTGGCCATCAGCAGAAGAAAGACTGTTCGAGAGAGCAGTGTGTCCTTAAAAGAAGTTTTTTTTAAGTCCAAATAGATGTAAGATTTACATGCAGTAGTGCAGATTCCTATTTTCCTGAGAGCTGGACAGCCATGTGAGTTCTCTAGGAAGTGGCACAGCTTGAGCTCATATTGACATATAGTAGTGCATGATTTACATGTAGAAGTGCAGACTGCAACGGAGAACTAGATCCCACTGTGGGATCACTATGAAGCAGCACAGGATGAGTTCCTGCCTGATGGGGAGCAATGTTTTAGAAGGACATGATGGGCCTGGTTTGTAGTGGCCTCCTCTCACCTCTGAGATCTCCTCTTTGGCTTGCTGAAGTTTTTCGGGTTTGTTGGCCCACAGAAGTCTTGCTTCAGTTTCCCGTTTCTTCTGCAGCGTGACCTGAGCGTCTTGCCAACGCTGCCAAGCCTTCATTCGCTGGTCAAAGGCACCCTGTTGAGAGGGAGAGAGCCACTGCTGGAAGCTTCAGGAACATAATCAATGGGGAATTATGGTTTAGCTCAGAGCAGTGACAAAGTCAGATGTAAACGGCGCAACGGTGCTAGAAGTGTTTCTCAACCGTGGCAACTTGAAGGTGTGTGGACTTTGATTCCCAGAATTCCCCAGCATGCTGGCTAGGGAATTCCGGGAGTCGAAGTCCACAATATTAAAGCTGATCAAACAGCATCAAACACCTTTGCCTAAAGAAGGGTGCCCACGAGGTGCAAACCGTCTCAATCTCTTTATGGTGGTCTGCTAAATGTTTCTTAGTATACAGCTCTACAATTTGGTGGCAGAGTGCTAAAATTCAACAGCACAATTTCTTGAGAGTTTTAAGAAGACAGGGCTGGGCAAAATATTCAAAAGAGGTACACTGTGATGTTTGCTTAAGTGAAACGTCTCTTTTGAAATAACTGAAGATGCTACATCTTTTCTTGCACAGAGCCACAAAATAGGCTTAATGCACACACTTTGCTTAAATCTCCCAAAAGACCAACACAAAATCACACCCAAAGTGTCCCTGCCCCTATTAAGGCTCTTTAACATTTGGGATGGGAGAGGTTTTCCAATGTTCAGAAAAGTTAGAGCAAACAAAAGTAACTACTTTTTCACACAGTGCACAATTAACTGGTGGAATTCATCATCACCACTATCTAGCTTTAATTAAGAATTGGATAAATTCACGGAGGACAACCTGTTAACAGGCCTTTGACTTGAAGGCTTCATGCAATCTTGGGTTGGAGACAGCTTGCCCCCAAACAAGTTGCAAGTGACCCAACATGGTCTCCTCCTACGCAGAAGCTTCTGCTTGGCCATGACAAGAGCACAATAGTGGACCAAGATGGACCTTGGTCTGATCCAGTGTGGCTATTCTCAAATACCACTGGCTACTGTACATACCTTGAGAAAGTGGGGTCAGCAAGCATTTTGGACACACATTGAGGTCCAACTCCTAAAGCCTAATGGGCTCCCAGTGTGGCCCTCTCCCACCATAATGGCCAAAGAGCTCTGCAGGGCGCCATCTGCTCCAACCTCCCCTTCAGCAAGATTCCAGGAGCTCTTACCCTTACAACAGCTAGAAGGCGAATGTAGTCACTCAGGAGTTCAGCCAGGAGAAAGAAGTCGCCGTTGGCCTGCTCCTGGTGTAGCTGCTCAATCTTCTCCTCCACCTCGGCCAGCTGGGAGAGCGCCCGGGACAAGGCAGTGTTGTCCTCTGAGCTTCCCAACATGGCCAGACTCTTGGCGAACTGACCTGTGTTCAGCGACAGCTCTGGAGGACGAAAGGGGGAGCATGAGAAGGAGAAGGAAAGCTCTCACCTCCTCATTAGCTGCAATGCGTAACACCGAAACCCAGCAGAAAAAGGACTCTCAAAGGCAAAAACATCCCAAGAGGGAGGTGGCGATTGCGCAACCAACCGCAGAGTTTCAGGCAGCCATTCTGATAGTCAAGTTCAAATGAACATTTGGAAAGTGGGGGCGCAGAGCCAGTGGCAAACTGGGCCTGAGGAAAACAGGGGAGAAATGACTAAACCAGCCAAAAACCACTGTTATGATGTGCCAATTTAGGGAGGCTTATCTGCGTTGGGGGGCTATGTGTTCATTGCAGGTTGATGTGGGGGAGAAGGGCAGAAAATAGATTTTGTTTTACTGCATCCAGTCCCTTGTTACTATAATTCCATTTCTACAATTCATTAATGGCTTGTTTTCCAGTAATTAGACATGGTTGTATGTTTCAGCTGGAAGGCACTGCAGGAAGGAAGACTTGTATTCAGAACTGCCAGAGTAAGAAGCCCATGATCACTTTTCTAGTCTCTGCATGTAGCTGCCTCCTTTACACCCAGAAACCGTTCCCCCGATTCAAAGTCACAACAATTATTCCTGCTGATAATCAAAGAATCTCAAGATAGAACCAGCATCACTTCGTTGCAAGAGAAAAAAGGCCACTAAATCTGAACCCTGAACATCCATCGCTTTTGAACACTCCAGCTAAGGTTGCGGGGAACCAGAGCACCGTATGCTCCCCCCGCAACTTTACAAAGTGCTCATGGCCCCAGATGCAAATCTAGAGTGTCTGTAAAGCTGAGAGGTGACATCACCGTTTTTCAATAGTTCATCAGGGAAGTTACCTTTTCTGTGATTGACCAGCATTTCTACAATTGCATGTAGCTTCCGCAGGCGCTGTTCCTCACATTCCACCTCCTGAAGCTTCTCTTCAAACCACTAGAAAGGAGAGACGGGGCAGAGAACCAACCCCAATGAGTCATCGTATGAAGAGAATATGAATTCAGTGATGCAGACAATCTGAGGAATCCTACCCAGGGACAAGATATATAGCGGTTTCATGTATATCAAGAAATGCTTGATTACTTACAATGTCTGATTCGTTCATCTTGATGGTCATTTTGCTGACTGCATCGGTGGCTCTGGTGAACATCTTCAGGAGGCCAGCTCCACTCAAGGCTTGGGTGCCAACGGCACGCGGCAGCTGAAAGAAGATGGGAAGGAAAATCAACAACGGTGCAGTTGATCAGTGCTGTTTGAAGATTTCTCCTCAGAGGCCAAGCACAATTGGATTGAAAGATGATTAACAGGAAAGAGAGAAGAGGGGTACCCTGTTTGTCAGAACAGAATGTCGATTTCCATAGAGTTTAAATAGGAAAAATCCTGTTTATTAGGTTGTTAGGAAGAGTCGGCCGCAGGCTTATGAATTTAAAGAAGCATTTCCTCTCCTTTGGAAACCAGCTCCTAGTCAATGCTCCCCAGCTTCAGAAGATTTTTTTTTTTGATCCATGGGCTATTAACTTTCAGGGAACAGACCAGAAAATTCGGTGCAGGAGCAACTGAATCATTTCACACAGCAGGGTAGCTGTCAGGCTGCCTAAAACCAACAGTGATTCTTTTCTCGGCAAGATTCTCACCAAGGTCTCTTTAATGAGATGAATGGGATGTGTTGCAAGAATTCCAGCAATTAAACTATTTCCCACTTAGAACCAGTATATCGCCATGGATGTTAGGCAGAGACTTTCTGATTTTCTTTCTCATTGCCTTCCTATGATCTGGTGAGGCAGAACACTTTGTTGAGAATGCTTGCCGCTGGCTGATTATACGTTGGGTCTCCTGAAACTTCCTCGGTCTGGGAACCAACTAGAAGATCTTTCTGAAGCTTAGAGTGTTTGGTTCTAAGAGTGGAGAAAGCATGATCTGGTGTCCACCCTCCTCCCAGTGGCCAAACAAGGCAACAGGACCAGTCAGAACAGTCCAACTTCATTCAACTACCTGCTACAGGCCACGGTGCCCCAAAGAGAAAGCAACCCAAGTGAAAGTAACCTAGTTCCCCCTTTCAAGTCACCCAAATGATGTAATAGGGCGAAACACACTTCTGAGTCACCCAGAAGCTTTGGGAAGCTGGTAGAGCCATCCAGGCTCTTATTAAAAAAGGTTTCAAGCACTGCTAGAAATACATTACTTGTATCTGCAGGTCAATAAGTCTGTTCCTAGAATTAAGGATGATCCAGTCATGATTTCTCTTTAGTATGCAGTGGCTGTGCTGCTTTAAAGAAGAAGAAAAGAGGACTGTGGTTCATTCAGAGCTAAACTTCCGCAATGCTGCTTGGCAGGAAACCCACCATAAAGTCGGAGAATGTAAGACCAAAGGTTACGAACGGCAGATTCCATAACGTGAACTGCGTGATCAATGTTATTTGTGCGCAAGCAGACATACTTCCTAACTGATCCTTGAGCTGCAACAAGGGAATATTCTCCATGGGCACCTCTGCACTATTTGCAAACTAGCACTGACGTCAGGTTTGCTTAAAAAAGGTTAACTAGACTTTTGTTTTTTTCTGGAGTGAGAAAACATGATACCAAAGTCAGTAGAACACTCCTTTCTGAGGGGAAAGTTGCAGAACTGGGAAGAGGTTCACTTTTCCAAAAACAGAAGTGACCCAGAAAAACTAAAGTGAAGGAAGTTTAGAACATCTGAAACTGGGTCTCCTTGCTGAAGTAACATGAGAAGAGCCATGCCCTCCAGAGGGTAAATCATAAGCCACACGTGAACCAAAGTCCTCTATCAACACGCAGGAGTGTGCTCATCTTCAACCAGCAATCTGACGGCAAGAAATAGACTCTAATTCCACAGGTTTAAAACAAAAAGGAATAACCTTGTGTATGCATGAAAAAAAAATTAGGGCTCAAATGGGAGGCTCTTTCCAACTTCCCTTGCTTTCAGGACCAGACAGTGATGACTGCATTTCCTCCTAGGACTTAACTACAAACTTGTGCTGTCTGTCTAAAAAGTGTTTTACAAGCAGTACTCTGCTTTTTCCCTTGAGTAATCAGTTGTTGTGTATCCTGCAACCGCACATCATGCACCGTTTTCTCAGCTATCACAAATGCTTCTGCAAGTGGCTTGGACCATTCAGGCAGCCTGCAGGATGAAACCGCCGGAAGAAAGAGAGAGAGAGAGAGAGGAGAGAGCAAAAACAGGAGGGAAAAAAAAGACGCACCCTCCAAGTGCTGTACAAGAAACAATGGGCAAATTCTTCTAGGTCAAGAGCCGCAACTTGATTCTTCTCAGTTGTCAGCAGAGGCAGAACGCCTCCGCTGGAAGGAGTGAAACCAAAAATATTTGGCCTGGTTTTGGACCGAATAAAAACTGCACCACTGAAAGTGAGCCATTTTCCCTGTGGGGCAGTGCAATCTCAGGATGCCCTGGGACCAACGAATGCTCAGAGATGCAGACTGCCCACCTCTAGATCAACACCTTCTGCAGGAGCTCTTATTACTTGGAAACAGTCCACAAGCCAGCCCCTCTCAAACAGCTTCTTTGCAAAGCAGAGAGAATTTGGATGGTTGCTTTGGCCAGAAGAGGAGCCGCGTCTGGCTGTAGCTCAGCGTGTTGCAATCACTGTCCCACAGAGCCTAACCTGAACACGGTTCAGCAGAAAGGAACAAAGAGGAAGCCGGCTGAATCAGCAGACTCCTTCAGAACCCTTTTTACCCAGCCGATCTGCGTCACTCTTTTCCCATGGCTGGCGTGTTCTGAAAGAAACTGAAACTGCTTTCCACTTCACCCCCTCCTGCCTTTCACAAAGGAGTTGGTTTCTGAAAACACGGCTGTTAAGCCCAAGTGCAGCAAAAACAACAACCAGTGTCCATTTCTCCAATTTTTTTCATCACATAAACATGCCGGGGTCGCTTAGGCCATAAGAGCGCACACTTGGTTACGGCAGCAGACCAACCTCGTCTTTTTCCAAGAATTCCCGGACATCTGGGTCCTGCAGCATGGTTGGGTGGCTTACGGTTCTTTGAATAAACCTGGGGAATTGGAATACAGAAGTTCAGTTTGCCTCCATGAAGCATTCCTGATTTTAAAAGAGAACTCTAAGGGATGTTTGTGCTGCTACAGCATCTAGGATAGGAGGAGGCATATTCACAAACTCAGCCTCATACCAATATTGGGGTAGGGGTAGGGAGGATAACTAAATAAGCGTAACTAAACTCTAATGGCTGATTCACAATCAGATCCACCCACTACTTGCTTTCAGGTGTGGATGAATTAAGAAGAGTCATATGATTTTAGAAATAAGGGCAGGCACACACCCAGTCCAATTTCTGCTACAACAGCCCCCTGTATCTGCTCTCACTATATCTACACTATGTATACCATCTTGATCTTTTGAACAAGAAAGAGGGTATAAATCAACAGAACCAAGGTGAGAAGATGCAGATTCAAGTCTCCACTCCACCGTGGAAGTCACTGATGACTCTTGGCCTGTTTCTTTCTTAGGCTAGAAAGCTAAGCTGGGCTTGGTCAGATCAGGACTTGGGTGGGAGACTACCAAAGAATGCCAGGATAGACCAGAAGTACACAAACATCTTGGGAAAAGGAAATGGCAAACCATTTGTGGTTGCCGGAAAACAGCATGGCTGTGTCCAGAAGGGCACCAGGAACTGAGCTGAGCTTATCTTAAAGGAGACGTCACACATCCACTGAAACTGGAAGCATGAAAATACAGAAGAAAAACAGGTTGTCCTGGGGCCTTCCCCTTCTCACTTCTCCATTCATGGGGGAGATATGAAGCAATTTCCACCTGGGTGAACTTCATTAGCCTTAGTTTCTACTGGAATCCATTCCAACCAAAAGGATCAAATTTCAGGAACTGTAGGCCATATTCCAGAGAACAGTTTCCATCGATTGTTCACAGGAATAGCCTACTGGACAAATCTCCGAAGAATTTCAAAAGGAAATGTCTTCTTGCAATTTATTCCAGATTGCTTTAAAAGCGAATGAGATTCTTCACAGGTTGACATCTGAGGACCAGAAGCTAGGAAATATTTAGGGGCCTTTGAGACGCATCAGATACTTGCTGCTTTTGAACTAAGTATAAATCGCACCAGGTTAGGTGAGCCCATGGGCTACTCCGTACCAGGCAGATCTCCCTACCCAGAACAACAAGCCAATTGCACCACCTTGTGGCTTACCAAACTACAGCACCCACCAATGAGAGATGCAGATACCAACCTTTCTAAGGCAGCTCTTCGTTTCTCTAAGAATTCTGTGGAGGAGGAGTCTTCTTTTCCAACTTTTACTTTGGTCATTCCTGGAACAAGAGAAAAGAAAAATATGACCACAAATTACTTGCGTGGCACATACAAGAGGTTCAACTTAGAGGTCTCCTTTCGGAGCTTCTCATCAGATTTGTGGCTCAGAGGACTTTGCAAGACCTACGGGTCTCACCTGGGTACTGCCTTCTTCTGAGCTGGAGACCTTAATGTTCGTCTTGCCACCATTTCTCGAGGCTGGCTTTTTCCAGCATCAGGCCTTTCTGCTTTCGACTGGGGAATCTGCTTGGTTGAATAGTCCCTTGTGCCTCCATTGCACGCCTCTCAAAGGAGGAATTATAGTCTAGCTCTGGTGTTGGTCTACAGTATCTTCCCCTTGTTGCTTACGATGGGGATTTTTTAAAAAAGCAACAGTGCTAAAAAGCCCACTACTCCAACTCCCAGTAGAGTAACCACTACTCCTTCCTGCAGGTTCTTCTGAAGAACTGCGATTCTTTTAGGCAGCAAATAGGTCATTAGTAGAATGGGGAGAACAGGGGGACTCAATCAGAACAGGTGATAGATTGCTCCCCCTGTGCTAGCAGGTGAGCAGAGAAGAGGAGGCTGCCCATTGTTTCTTGAAGCTCAAGCGTCACTTGCAGAATTATCTTCTGAAAGGGAAGGCGTTGGAACAGGACATCGCAGGCATCAAGGCCTTGGCTAGTAACTCTGCAGGGCAAGAGAGTGCTTCGCCTCTTACTGAGGAGGAATGAAGAGCCAGATTGTACCTTATCCTTAGAAAAAGATGCTATTACAGCTCACAAAAGATCAGCAACGTATTGCCGTTGCAAATTGCCCGTGAATGCTGCACACGGAGCATCTAGAAGTTTGAAGCTACACAAAAGACGTTCGCTAGGTATACGCTATGCTGACTTATAGCTTGTTTCAACCCTGTGTCCTTGAACCCCGGTGCCCGTATAACAAGAATCGCTGGTTTATAAACCACCAAAGCTGTGCTCACACATCATAGCTAAACCCAAACCCTATTGCCTGCCTTTTATCTAACGTGCTAAAGCTGTGTTAAGAGAACACAACTGCTGGGTTTACGCAGCACGCAATGCTCCAGCCAAGTTGTCATCGCTCACGATGGGGCCGAAGCACAAAATATCCTACTTCGCTTTAGTCTCATCTAGGATGGGATGGGAGCCCAGGGGCTCTGGTGTATGGCAACGTGTGAAGCTGGGCCAGTATGTTGAACGTGGGAATATAATCAAACGTTGCTGGCAATCTCACCTATTAAGCTCTTCTCGGGAGGAGGAGGAACAATGATTCCATTTTGTGTGTGTTTCTCCAAAAGCTTCTCGTATAAGCCCAAAAAGTCACTGAATCGCCTCTTCACGGAGAACTGCTGGTTCCTGAACATCGGCAGAGTGGTCTGAGGACAGTGAGAATCAGGTTAGCAGGCGCAAACGCACGTCCACACATCTTGATTTAAAAATCTGAATGGCACCGCTTGGAAGTCTGCGATCCTACTTAGGGTTCCTTAAAGCTTTTAAAACAAAAGGCAGCCATTACTTTTCAGAAAACACATTCAGGGTTGTGTGGGGCATGCTCCTCAGCTATCGACAAGCACGATGATGGTGATGAGGGTGATGGTTGGCCGCTCAGTCGGCCAGATGTTTAGCCTGGATTTGGCATTTTTATCCACCTATCAAGCCCTTCCCAAGGACTTGGGATAGGCAGATGTTGTTTGGTGTTAAAGGTATTGTGATGATGATGATGATGATATTATTCCCACCTTTTTCTTTCTCTCTCTCAAGGTGGCAAGCATACCTAATACTCCTACCTCCTTTTCCCCCAACAACAATCCTGTGAGGCAGGTTGAGCTGAGAGAGAGGGACTGGCCCAAAGTACAACTTTAGGCATTTAAATATATTTAATTTTAAAAATGACACGCAAACCGCGTTAGAGATGAAGCTGATGCACTCTTGAAGAAACTAAACACAGCCAGGATAAAAGAGGCCTTTGTTGTAGCCAAGCACCGCTTTGCTTCCCCTTCAGCAAGACTGCCAATTCACATTATAAGCATTTTTGGACGTCTCCTCTCCGTATCAAAAGCAACCTGCCACGAAGCACGGAAGAGGATTTTGATGCGTTAGTTGGGGACACACTGACCCAGTTATGTGGATATTTGGAGGGTGGACAAGGTATTTTTGCCAGCTGGCAAAAAGCAGTAAGTTGGAAGCCGAAGGCATCTGTGCTGCAAAGACACTGGAAATCGATGAAAGGAAGGTGTAACTGAGGGACACCTGTCTTTTATCTGGTCAGTCAAAAGGATTTAAATAAAATGCATAGGTAGCTTTTGAGATGGGAACAGGAGAAAAATTTAACAGCTATTGGCACTCGACAAGAAACTGGGTCTTCGCTGGTAAAATTAATGCTTAACTTGTGTGGTTTATGGATCATTCCTGAGTCAATCCATTTTATTATGGGGAAAAAATGGGACATCTTTGAAATCTCCAAAATGAGTGCAAACACTGTAAATTTTATTGTTGCATTTTTTTAAAAAAAATCATCTCTGCAGACGTGGCACTGCCAGGAGATCTATGTCACAGGTAAACAATGTGAGGCGTATATATTCTACAGGTAGTCCTTGGATAATGACAGCAATCGGGACTGAAATTTCCATCGCTAAGTGATGCGGCTGTAAAGCGTGACGTCGCGTGAAGGCATCGCTTAGCGACAGCAATCCTGGCAGTTCCTATTGCTGTCGTTAACTGAATCCCACCGGTCATTAGGTGAGAACCCACCCCGATCCAAGCCATTCCTGGCTTGGTTCCTCCCAGCCCTGAGCCTTAGTAAGGTAAGAGACTGCCTCCTCTGGAACTCACCCTATTTGCCTATACCCCCCTATCTCTGCCCTTTTGGGCAGTGGGGGTAGCTGGTGGTGGCGGGTAGATGGGCGGCCAAAAGGTGGTTGTAAATGTGGGTGGGCCCAAATTTTGTTCATGTGACTGTGGGGCATTGCAACAGCCGGAACTTCAAGGACCAGTCATAAGTCCCTTTGTTCAGTGCTATTGTAACTTTGAACGGTTGCTGAAGGAATGGATGTTAAGCGAGGACTACCTGTACTCTAGTCCCATTTTTGTGGTCTCAGAGCATTTGAAAAATACTTCTTTGGACCAAATAAGCATCAAAATAGGTAGGCTTTGTGTACCTACTGTGCAGAGAAATCTTCTGATTTCCCAAGAGCTGAAAACTCTCCGTGTCTGGCACTTAGAAGTTGGGGAAAAATAAAATAATTAAACAATGCCTCCCAGCCCTTAAATGGGTGTGGCTGGTCTTTTGTCTACGTCCTCTCCAAGAATGTGTTCTTTAGAACAGGAGAACTGGAGCCTTTCATCTCAGAGGCTTTCCAAGGTCACCATCCAGATTAACAGAGGAGGAGGAGAAAAGGAACAGATGAGCTTATTGTCCCAATGTGTTGCCGCGCCAACTGCTGCTGTCTGGGACTGTCCACGGGGCAGCTCTGCTAACAGACCATTAGAAATAACCTGCCGTGTTCTGAGAACATGCTTGGCACCCTTTCAAAAGGGAAAAAAAGAGGCAGGCCCTTCTCCAATCAGCATGAAATCCCGAAGACAAAGCCTCAACACACATAATTGCTCACGCAGAGTTACGGGAAGCGACCGGAAAGCTGAACCCCATGGGCTTTTTGGACAGGTGGTGCATGAAGTTCACCAAATGGTTATTTAGAAGACAGTTGCTTAGTAAAGCTTAAATGCTTGGTGACAAAGGGTGGGGCCATCGCAGCTGTTGTTTTAAAGAGAGAGTTCAGATGGAGGTGACATAAAAGAACTGTCTGGGAGTAGGAAGCAATAGCTGGGGAGGAGGGGATTAAGGGTGAGAGACACACTCCAGATGTTTCACCAGGATCTCTATCTTCACTTTCCCCAACCTACGAGAAGACTTCCATCTCCACAATTCCTCGGATGCTGCAGTTCATTCTAGGGCTCGGAAGTTCACATATTTCCATCAAATGACTTCCCACATTTTCTCTGCCTTGTGCCCCTCTAAAGTAGCCACTGCCCAGCCTACAGTATCTTTGAAGGCCACCTGTGGGGTTTTCTGCACTGTGGATTGTAGAAAATGGCAGGACACTTTTTACACAGGCATTACAGACATTGTCACTGTAACCTGAGCTCATCTGGGGCACAAACACCTACCTGGCCTGGGCTAAAGAGAGAAACAGTGAGTGAAAATGTAAGACAGATTTAGAAATGTGAGCTGTCTGTGGGAGCCAGACAAATGGACAAGCAAGACCTACTGAAACAATCTGGCTGAGAAAAATGCTTGTCTTCAAAGCCTTCCTTCTACTGCTCCAAACTCATCACTACAACAACTATAACATAACTTTAAGAATTGGTGCCCAGGCTTACGTGTGCATCTCTCCCCCCCTTTGCTGCTTTTAGATTACAAAACTGGGTGCCAGGAAACCCTTGTTTTGGAAAGAGCCATACAGACACTGTCTAAATGATCAGGTTCTCTGCTAGACATCAGATTTCCCTTTGCAGTCTGAATGAATTGGGGGGAATCTGGGGAAGAGTACAATTAAAACAGTGAACAGCCACTTCATAGCTCTGTCCTCTTACAGATTGCCAAATACCTTTGGAAGAAAAACATTCTAAACCCAAGTGGAAAATGGACATAAAAGAGTTACTTTGCCTTAAATAGACCGGCTGCCTTGGCAATAATGGGGAAAAACAACAGAAAGCAGGCATACCTGGGTGGACACCTTGTAAGCAACATATGCATTCATTCCGTCTCCTGCAGGAACAAAAGAAGAACATTGAGACAAGAGCTTCAGCGGGCTATAATAACTGGGACCCTTAGTAAGTTGGGGTTAATGCCCCTTCTTTGTAGGCACTCTGTAAACACAAGCTGGTCAGCAGAACCCACTGCCAAGGACAGTTGCTCAATCTCTTCTGGTGACCACTTGGGGCTTCCTTCAAAGATGATCCATATTGTCCATGATCTTAATCAACATCTAGAATGTATTTAACAGGACTTTATTTATGCAATTTACAGGTATTTACTTCCTTAATCCTCACCGACTCTACACAGTGTGTGTGTGTGTTGTTTCTAGCGTGGTCTTTCACCGCTACACCAAACTGGTTTTTTCTCTAGGTGGTTTACATATATCAAAATAGCGATAAGAATAAAAACATGCTTGAAAACTTCAACACACATACCTTTACATACATACACGCTGTACACAAATGGTTACTATTTACACAATTTATTTTGCACAAACGGTAGCTATTGGTGGCGTTTACTTTTCAAGGATTATGTGGCAAAGATTCAACAGGGCTCCCTTTCAGGGTAGAATGTGATCCTGAGACTTCAGGAATTTAGGGAGTAGGGTGGAAAAAAAGGTTCCAGGTACTGAAGCCTGCTATACAACTCCCCCAAGTTCATACAGAATTTTTGTCTTTTTCCCAGGGTAGACGACACATCTCATTTAGACACAAAAGGTTTAAAACCTCGCTTCCTTTCAAAAAAGAGCGTTCTCCAATGCTGAATTCTTCCTCAATGGTATCAATGCAGACTAGTAACAGGATCGAGCAATTGCATCTCACTCCATGCTTCAGCTGACGTTAAAAAAAAACAAAACACTCAGAACTTCCAGCAACGGGTGGATCGATCCAGGGCTTCAGTGGACAGAAATTATCCAAGCCACCACATCACCACCACTAAAAGGGAGGCAGTTCACTAAGGAACAGCACTGCCCCAAAAGTTCCAGGCGCCTGAAGGAATCACAGGCTGAGTGAGAAACCAGCAACAGGATGACACTGACAAAAAGCACCAAGGGGTGGGGATATATTTACTATTTGCCACATCCAAAGCAAGATTTGGAATCCGTTCAGCTGCTGATGGAATGTTTCATCTGCATTCCAGTTTATCTGGGCTATTTTTTTTCCTCCTTCAACACTCTAGAAGGCTAGAGAGGCACATTTGCATTAAAGATCTAAAGAAAAATATTAGACTGGAACGCTGGCGATGCTCTTCGCTTGCAGGACTCAGGACGGGTGCCTTTTCTGTCGCAGCACCTGCCCTCCGGAAGACCCTGCAGCCGTTCAGGAAGCCCTTCAGAGCAGCCGTTTTCCCCGGCCTGCGAGTCAGAAGCTTAGCTGAACCCAGGAGGGTTCGTTAATTACTGTTGACTGGCTTATCCTCAATTGCCTTTTTTTTCCTTTGCTTTTCTGATCTTATTGCAACTGTTTTGTTACTTCTGCCCTGTGTTATTTATGTATCATCGTTTTAAACTCTGCTAGCCACTCAGACTCAGTTTTATGAGAAGGGTGGCCGTGTAAATCAAATAAATAAGAAATAAATGAAGGCCACCACTCTGGTGGGCTCGAGAGGAACGAATAAAAGGAATGGATCTCAGGTGATGGTGACGCCAATCTATTCTCTTTTCCTTTTAATTTTAAGCTGCCCAGAATTGCTGAGAAGTTGGTGTCCTCTAAACTGAATGAACAAACAAATCAACAAATGCATTTTCCTCCAACCTGGGAGGCCGTGGCATTCACTTGTAAGTCCTAACTTTGCTTCTATCACGCCAGTCCTAGAGAGAAGAGATTTGCAAAGCCAGGACCTGGATGGGTGAAGCCCAAGGACAGAGGCTCCCTCAGGGGTGCCAAGCCCTGCTTCCTACAAACATCAGCCTAGTGCAATAATTAGGGACTTGTTGCACTGCTAAGGTTGAGAGAGCCCTGTGCATCTGCCCCACACTGAACAATTAAGTGGCTGTTAGAACACTAAGGCAGCTGAAGGAAAGTGGAAAAAAAAAAAACTTAGCACATAGAAAGAGGAAGTGGGTTGAGAGCTGGCCAAGCAATCCTTCTGGTGTGCAGAGCTTTCATTTGAGAAAACCACAAGCCTAAAGCAAAGGGTATAATGTTCCCCAGGTACAGAGTTTTCCTGCCATAACCCTGCACGGATAGATACCCTGTTTATGCAGCTGCCATTAAAGGTGCATCAAGCCTGATCGTGTTTCGCAGCTGCTACTGTTCCAAGGAGAATACGCAGCATTTCCAAATGCAGAAGGGCACTCTCCAGGCTGGGTTTGGAATCTCCATGCCCAAGATGCTGGCAGATTATGTCAACCTGCTAGTCTGTTCGGCGACACAAGAGCGTGCCAAGCGTGCAAGAGAGGGAGCTGCCACTGAGGGCCAGTGGACGGGAGCTTTAGTCATGACTCTTCTCATCACCACTGTATTCCCGCAGAATTACATTACGTATACAAAACCAGCCATGAACTCACCAGCATCTTTTCCCAAATACCCCAGGCTGCAGGGAACCACACTGCCCCCTACACTTTTTGCATTTTTGGAGTGGGGGGAAACTGGAGGCTTGAAGAGGCAAAACAAGTGCCTTTGCAGATACAACTATTCTGCCTTATAAAAACTCCCCAAATCCCTGTCCTTACAGGCCCTGAACATTTTCAAAAGGGCCCTTTGTACGTCTTGCAAAGGTTGGTCTAGTCCTTGACTTTCAGAAGTTATATGTCAGACTTCACACTTCTGTTCAGCAATACACCTCAGCTCTTACTCCACACTAGGCCTGACTCATCTTAACTTTCTGATATGACTCGACTAGTTTATAAGCTTTATAGCAGACAAGAATTACCCCTTGAACAAGGAGGTCAGTTGCTCACTACAGTACAAATCAGAGCCTTTATACAAGTCTTTGCTCCAGAGTTTATGCTTTAGGCTTTTTTCTCCCATCTTTCCAAGTTAATGTGGCTGCTCTCTTGATGGTCCTGGCAAGAAGCCATTGAGGTATAATTACATGGCCATTTTCTTGAGCCTGGGAATCACTGGGTTCTTCCTTGCCCAACTCAGCTCTCACATGATATATCTTTGCTCTAAATTGTACAGAAATCAAAGGCTCCAGAAAAAAAATCAAGGTAACAGTGACTCTGAGGGCAGAAGGTGAATTTAGTGAATGGCGGTATGCCCAGCATAGTTAAATCCTACCGAACTCTGTCAAACTGTTTCCATTTCATCGTGACTCACCAATTTTCTCTGGATCGCTCACTCCCACTGAAAGTTCAAATTTGTCTTCCTGCTCTTCCTCTTCCAGCTATATAGGAAGGAGAGATTACATGTATGTCAGAAACTTTTCTTAGGCCTTGCATACGATACACAATATGGCGAAGAGAGAGGTGGGAAGGCAGGTGGAGACCACACCAGAAGCCTCTGCTCCTTCCCGATTTCTTCCACCCTCTCACTGTCCTTTGAGAAACATCCCAGCTGTTGACATTTTTTTTTAAGTGTTTGTTGTGCTTTTGTTTATGCCAGTGTTACTTGTAAGCTGCTTTTCCTAGCAATTATATCCTGAAAGACAGGAGACAGGCAGAGCTGTAAAGCATAAATAAATCATATTTACTTTTGCTCTAACTCAAGTTTATATTGCAAGCTTGAGGGGCAAAAATCTATATCCTGATTGGAGAGGGGAGACAATAGCCTGCAGAGTTCCTGGCGTGCTCCACTCACAAAAGTAACTTCAGGGCTTCTTTTAATAGTCTTGCAAGAAGATGGAAAAGGTATGAAGCTCAAAGTAATATCCAACTTACGCAACGTGCCTGCTTTGCACGGAGAAAGGATTGGCCCCTTTCTCTAGGAATAAAAGGGAGGGCAGCAACCACTCTAGCTTTTTTTTTTTTTTAGGGAGAAAGAGACTTTCTTGTTGTACTGTGACTTCCCTGAGGGTAGGGCTTGGGTGGAGAAGGCCCTTGGTGGCACCTCATCTCTGTGCACGGTGCTGGAAATCCATGTAGATGGACGGGGTTTCCTTCCCTATGATATTCAGGACACAGCTGAATATACAACTAGCTAAACTGAACAGATAATTAGCCAAACACAAAAGCACTTACCTCCTCATAGGTTTTTGACTGCTGCTTAGAAGAGGAATGTGCTGATTTTTCTACAGAAGGGACAGGACTGAACACAGTTGTTGTCTCCTTCTTTTGGTGGTTCTGGGTGCTATCCAGGGTCAATTCAACAGTGGCGTCTGCAAAAGAGCAAACTGAATGATAAGTTGATTTTTTTAAGCCATAAGTCACTTCCCTGATGAATGAAATTTCTACAGAAATTTCACAAGATGGAGCCACTTCCTTGACTTACAGCTAATATGAAAGACATTCATGGTAGAATCATTTCACTAAGTTGAATCATCTACTTAGTGCACCAGAATTCTCTCTTTAGAAATGAACAATCAAATCAGATCCAACAGCATATAACACGAAGCTATCCATTCTGGGCCCCAACACCCATCTCTGCTTGGAGATGTCAGTTTCAATAGTATCTAAGTCAGGAACTTGTAGTTTAACAGCATCTAGAAGGTCACATCTCCCAACAGCTCTGCCAGATAGAGCTCCTGGGAGTTGCGGTTAAGCCACATCTGGAGGACATGTGCTCTCCATTCTTGATCTAAATCACAAATCTCAACCAGTCATCTCAAAGTTGCTGTTCATGTATCAAACACATCATATTCTTACTAAACAGGCCCAAACACAACATGAAATAAACACACAAGTTAATGATTGTATTCTTGCCCCAGTGTCAGATGGAGATATTGGGGGTAAATGGCCAGTTTCCTCTTTGGGCATTTTCAAGATTTACTAAGTTGGGTTAGGCCCACTAACTGGAGAAAACCTTGTGGAGTTCCCTTTCCAAAAAGCAAACTAAACCTGAAACAGTCATAAGCCTGCTATGGCCACTTTTTAGAAACTAAAGTAATGAAACATTTAATTAGAACAAAACTGTCACGGCTGGCAATATGTACAAGCTTTCTTGCCAGAACTGAGAATATAACAGATCCATTCCAACTGGATTTCAGCCATGTTAAATTTGTTCCAACTGGATTTCCTTCAACATACAAGACTCTTTCTCCAAGAATTCTCTCTGGTTCCGATAAACTGATGTGATTCATATTTCATATCATAATCCATTTGTAAATACTTCAAGCAGAATTGCTTCAGTAGTTTGGCTCTTCTTTTCCCATTTGTAGACCCCATCTTGCCAAATTTGTTTTTTTTGGGGGGGGGTGCTCCTAACACTCCGGATCAGATTTTGAGAGTGGACAAGGAGACACAGAGAAACACAGGAGCTAACCCCGTCCCATTTCTGCTAACAAACAAAGCCTCACCAGCAGAAATGGGACTCTGAGGCCTACTCAGGATATGTGACCAAACTTTTCACGTTCAAAGCCCTGTAACAGGATCCCCATTTGCAGATGAGAAGATTGAGGCCAAGAATAGCTTGTCAACAGCTATCCCAAAGTTCTAGGGACTTCGTAATGTGTTTTACACTCTATGACTTCAGACTAGCTGCCAAGTTTATAACTAGAACAGAGGTCTACAACTATTGGCGGCCCCTAGAGCAAATCCAAAAATTCTCACCAATTTGTAATGCTTACAGCACAACAGAAATGTAATGCATGAGAGGAAGGCAACAGCAGACCAATTCCATGTTATTGCCAAGAAAGCTCCATGGTTGTATTTATATAGCCACCAGAAGTTGAGGTCAAAGTAACTTATTTTTAATCATATGAACTGTAATTAATGTAATCTCAAGGAAATTTAAATTCAATCAAATTTGTTTTTGCAAAACAGTAACACCTGTACTATACAATCTTAGTGGGATACAAGTCAGCAAAGTAGCTCGTGTGAGCATTTCAGAGAAAGTCTGTGAGCATGTGCCTCACTAAAACAGGTGCGAACAGCATAGGAGGAGGGCTGTGTTAGTCTATGGTGGCAAAAATATGAGAGGCAGACTAACAAATTTTATTAAAAGGCGTACGTTTTTGTGACCTCCTTTTCAATAAAATTTGTTGGGAAAGGTGCTACCATGAGAAGCACCAGGTTCAGCTGGATGGAGTAGAAATCTATAGAAAGTGAGCTTTTAATAAAATTTGTTAGCTGGAAAAGGTTCTACCAGACTCCTAAAGTAGGTGTGACCGGCAAATATTCTTCTATTTACATGTGGTCATACCTACTTTAAGGGAGCTATAGATTTCTGCACCATCTGGAACAAGGTCCCCTCTGAGATCTGGATGGCCCTGCCGTGGTTTAGAAGAGCCGTGAAGACTGGGGGCCATTTATTTTTTATTGATGTTATTGTAATTTCTTTCTTTTATTGTTGTAAGCCACCCAGAGTCGTCATGAGCTGGGCAGCAGACGAGTTTAATAACTTACTATTATTAACCACTTTCCACCGTGACATGCAACACGACAAACCTGCAAATAGATCCTGATCTTCTTGGTCTTCCTGGATGCCATTTGTTCTGAAACTGTTTTCCAGCTGCACTGGGGATTCCTTCTTTGGGAACGCTGGCTTACTCTATAAGGATAGAGAGGGGCCGTTATCCAAGCTGCGGAATCAAATCTGTTATTGAAACATATGCAGAGATACCTAAGCAAGCAGATTCTCTGCCCATGCTCAGTCTGCAAACCTAAGCTTCCTCCTCCTGCCCTACGCAAAGTCTTCCCATTTGAATCTACACATCTCTTCTCAACAGCTGGCAGGGCTGGAAATGCATATGTCGCTTTAGGGCTAAATTAACAATGGAGGCATTGGGTGTCTTTTCCAATGCTGCTTTGTCAGGCTAGCACATGGCTTATAAAGGCTCCCCGCTTCCTACACGCCCCCCCCCCCGCTTTGGTATCTGGAGACAGTGCTGACACTGTCTGCATCGCTGAGCATGCAGTTGGCCAAAAGACAATAGCTGTCTGAACAGGGTGATGGTTCCAAGAGGCGCCAGGGACAGAACTGCGGGTGCTACTGAGCCTGGTTCGGAACAAAGCAAGGTTTAGATGTCACGCCACTACAGGTCACTTCTGGAGAAGTTCTGACCCCTTTGAACCGCATGTCAAAGTAACTGGACTGTCCGTCTGAACCTGTCAGTCCTGACCTCTTTATTGTATACAAGTCTATAGCTCACACCAACGCACTGCCTTCGAGCTGAAGTGCAGTAGCAGTGTTTCAAACACACGACTGGGAATCTGTACATCCCTCTTCTCATCCTACATCTTTGGAATATATTCCTGCAAACACAAAAGCTTTATGGCATTCTCACAATGTAAGACGGATCAAAGAGTTATGTTATTATGCAAATCCTCGTTCTGAGCCATTGCAGGAAGAGAGTCCCGTGGGTCTGAGGGCACCTTTTATTCAAAGGCAGAAGCTTTTGTGAGCCTCACTGGGGCTCACAAAAGCTTCTGCCTTTGAATAAAATTTGTCAGTCAGAAAAGGTGCAACAGACTCCTGATTATTACCTAGCCCTAACCGTTTGCTGAAACTTTTCAACAAGAGTTGAACTCTGCTCTTTATTTTATTGTTCCATTATTGATTTACCTTCTATTTTTCCTCATGCTTTTGCAGGTAATCTACATTTCATAATATGACTACAAAAATATGAATTATTTTACTTCCAACAGTTTGTTTTCTGCTAGCCCCCCGCTTGTGTATTTTCACAAAGAAGCCAAGGCACGCTGACCCTGATGAAGCTCAAGCTCTTGTCACAATGGGAGAGGCTCCCCACATTTCAGACTTTTCTGCTGAAAAGCTGTGCAACAGCCATCTCAGAGTGCTCTTTTGGCATGTCAAACTAACACATGTGCATAACTCTTCCCTACTCACTGTCAGAAACTAAATGTCAAACTTGGTTCCTTTTTCACAGGAAGTTTCACTCCATTTGTATTCCTTAACTTTTTGTAGTTACTGCATAAATTGCTTAAAATCAGCATTTTCTCTTGAAACAGAAGGGTGGGGCCTGGCCTCAAATCTCCTGATTTTTTTCTCCTTTGCCAATTAACTGTTTCTGGATTTTGTAGTGCGAGAAAGAGAGTCACCATTTATTCCCCTTGCCTTGGCAATCACGTCACTTAAGGTTATTTTTTTTTTGAAGCAGAGATTGAGACAAAACCATTGTACCAAAACTGCATTTAAGGAACCCTCTCATCCACATGGTCACACCCCAGGACGGCTGCCCAGACTGACAGAGGAACATGACCATGGAAATTTTCAGAGCCATTAAGACAACTTTTCAAGCCATAAAGATAACCATTATTAATGCTGGCAGCTTAATATCAGCTGGTGTACATATGCGACCCACAAAATTACAGTATAGAATTAGCATCTTTACTCCTGGGGGATCCTCAAAGTTACTAAAAGACGGTTATTCTGAGGGTCAGATACCCAGTAGTATATTCCATAAGCAATTTACATCTCTCAGATAAAAATGTAGCTAAAAGAATAATCAGAAACAAAACTTAAAACTTATCTCCAAGGTATTATCTTGTTTTCTGAAAAATGGTAAGCCGCCCAACAGCTTATAAATTGTGTAAACACATACTGCACATTTGTGGCATAGAGTTTAGATATTGGACTAGGTCAGGGGAGACCCAGGATGAAGTCTACTCTCACCCAGAGAATCCCACTGGAGACTTTGGACTCCCTCAGCCCAACCTATCTTACAGGGTTACTGCTGTGACCAAAAGGAGGGATATGAATCTAGCAAATAAATGGCCAAACATTCGCGCTGCTTTAAAAGAAAACACAGCATTTAGTTGGCCTCGACTGATTTAAAAAGTCTACGCAGAATCTGATCTGGTTGTTACATGGATGGGGGACCACTAGGGAATCCCAGGGCTGTAGGCTACCTTGGAAATCAACAAAACATCTTCACTTCTTGGGATCTAAGTCCTTGTGACTGAGATTAGCTGGAAGGGTAACCGCTCACTAAAAGAAGATAGTAACAGCAGCTCTATAAAGGGATTTCACAGCGGTGAAGGATCAACCAGCACCTGCGGAAGACCCTCTTTCAACCCAAGATAAAGTCCTTCCCAGAGAAACAAACCCGCCCAAGACAAAGATGGGACGCAGACTCAGGTTGGGGCAGCGAAGCAACAGGAACACATCTCTTGCTGTAAAGCAAGGTAAGCAGAATTTGAAACCCGGACCTGAACCCCAGTCCAGGCTCCCCTCCCGCAGGCGACGCTTGGCGGCTGCGCTCCCATCCGCTCCGCCGGGAAACAAGCCCGGGAGGTCGCTGGAAGGCACGCGGGTTTACGGGAGAGGCTCGTGCCATGCCCAGGCAGAGCCGGGGACGTGCCGGACTCCGACTCCCATCATCCTAGGCCGGCTCCGCCACAACCGAAGGGCGCCGGGTTGCAAACGGGTTCAGGAGCCGGGTTCGGGAGCCGGTCCTCCTCCCGCCGGGCG